CGACCCTGAAAAGGAAGAAGCGTGTACAGAAAATGGATGGATGGATGGATTTTTCATTTCATTATGACGAGAAAATCTCAAATGGTATTCGAATATTGACATTTCCCAGCTGGAAAGTAACAAAACTTTGCTAGCTCACAGGGAATATCTCAAAATTTATAAGTGTTTTTCCTCAAAATCAGCTTTTTTGTTGCTACTGCTCAAAAAGGTACTTAAAAATGTATTATCATATTTCACACAGTTCATTCAAATGAAACTTTGAAAAGGCATTTATTTGTTATATTTTGACAAATTGCAAATTTTTGTAAGTGTATTAATCAAARCACTATATTTGTTTGTTTCTCCATAAACCCCTTTTAGAATAAATCCTTGTTTCGATGTGATGGGTCACATRYAAGCTTGTGCKTGTSTACAGCAAAAGTTCTCAAACTTTTGATGACTWATTCTAGGTTAGGAGACTGTTAATGATCAGTTCCATCTGCCATGCTAATTCGTGTCTTTATTAAGTCTAATAAAAAATATGTAGATTAAAGTTTTTCAACTGATTCTGATATTTTTTGTTTTGTTTTGTTTTTTTTCCAACCGTTCCAGGTGCGTCCAGCCAGCCAAAGAGGAGGCGTGCTCTTTGCTGTCACAGATGCCCAACAGAAGGTGGTGGAGCTGGGTTTGGCGCTCACTCCAGTTCGTGGGGGCGTCCAGAGCATCTTGCTGTACTACACTGAAAAGGAGCAGGCCTCCCACAGCCTCAAAGCTGCTGCTTTTAGTGTCCCAGACATGACCGAGCAGTGGACACGGTTCACGGTGAGCTGCACACAAAACAAATGCTCATTTAATGCTATTTATTTGTTGTATTGGTCTATTATTGTTCCATCTTTTGTGCTTCAGTCAAAGGTATATAAAGTACTTGACAATCTTCTTGTTTCATAAGGGGATTGGGTGGGGGTGCTAGAATCAGTCTTTTTTAGTTTTTTTTTCTGTGTACAAGAAATAAAACAACAATATTTATGTTATAGCATGTTTTTTTATAGATATTTAATTGTTGAGGATCAGTGTTTTTCAAATTATGGCTGCTCAGACTGTTAATTCACTACTGAAAACCTATTTGTCTTCAGTGACTATTATAGCTGACCTAAAAGACTTTGATTGTTATTGATTTCCATAGGTTCATTTATTTTATTTATTTTTTTGTAAAGTCTCACTTTAAAGTTCTCAAAGCTTGAGTTTATCTTGATTGCTTTTCTATTTTAAGCTTTGCAGAGTACTTGGTCAACAACAGTTGAATTTGAAAAAGATAAGATAAGCCTTTATTCGTCCCACAAGGGGGRAAATTACAGCAGCATTTTCAGCAAGTAGGGAACAGCAGCACATGTCTTTATTTCATTTAYAAATGTGCTATAAAACCAAAGCAGGTGAAATTATGAATGCACTAGAAAATAAATATTGACTTGTCTTAACTTAAAGGGGCAGACATTATAAGATTTATTTTTCTTCTGCTACCTTTCATTTTATTTTGATTTTTTGATTTGTGTATTTACTTAGTTTCTATTGTATATTTTGTTTTTAATGAAATGAATAATTTTTTTGAATTGCATTGAAAACTTGCTGAAAGGTTCACCACATTCTGAATTAACTCACAAACAGGTAGCAGTGCCATCCCCTTCAACAAGTCTTTAATATAATGTAGACTCCATTTATTTTATTGAAATTCATCCTTTAAATGCATCCTTCAGTAAACATAGAAGTAAAAACTAACCATTCTATTTCCACCACCATAACTTAAATGAGGTTTATGCTCCTCTACAGAAAATAACTTTATCTTCACTTACTAATTTCCTGTCAATGTGATCTAAAAGCAGTCATAGTTTACTCAGGTCTTCACTTCGTTGTTCAGAATATCTTTATTTATTTAATCGTCTTTTGCTGATTTGCATCAACATTAAAACCAATGCATTAAAGGAATACAGACATGTTTCTTATGGTGCTTTCTCTGCCTGCAGTTAGTGGTGGAGGACAGTGAGGTGCGTCTCTACATGGACTGTGGAGAGGCTGAGAAGACCACCTTCCATCGGCGGCCAGAGAAACTCTCCTTCTCACACAACTCTGCCATATTTATAGCAAAYGCAGGAAGCACAGGGCTTGAGAATTTTGTGGTAGGTAAACACTTTCATATATACTGTATACAGTATTTGTTGGAGTCTTTGTGTTTGGTTGATAAATTTACCTATGGTACTTACTGTACATTGCTGTACAAATACGTACATACACAAGCCAATTCCATAATCACTTGCCTTTCATGGTGGCAACATGCAAATATCACAAAATACTCCATTTTATCTGTTTSTGGGAGAAACACACAAAGTTGAAAYTAATGWGAAAATCCCAATGAGCTGTAATACWGAAATGTATTTAYTTAGCTGTTTTTAGATGCCTGTATTTTTTATTTGTTTATTTTTCACTCAGCATGTGTAAAAATCAAGGCCCGTAGACCAAATGTGGCCCTCCACAGCATTTGATGTGGCTCCAGAGAGTGTCAATGTATTAATGTCTTTAAAATAAGGGCATGATGCTTTAAATCCAGGACTGATCATAAAYTACRTCTCCCAAAATGCATGTTGTTCACCCAGCATTACAACATCCCACCACTAGGTGGAGCTACATTTAGCTGCATTTTTGCAGGCTACTTTTGCTGCAGCCTAGTTGTCCTGTGAAGAGGGGATTTCACACTGACAAGTCGTAAATTTAAACTGGAACACCCCTCCAGTGCGAATTCGCTGTCAGAAGGTGGTTCAGAATTCAAGATGGCTGTATTAAGGAGTAAGACTCTTTTACTTACATTTTTAGTAGTGTTTCTGTATTATTTATTTCCCTTTTAGTCATCATACACTTAGTATTTTTCAGTGTTTTTACAARGACATGTTTCTATGCAGGAAATACCATGTAGAGCTGTTATTATTTGTTAGAGGTGCTCAGCCGTGGTAATGAGACGAGGAATGTGACGTTTCCTGTTTAGCCAAAGTTAAATGTGAAGCGTCAAACTAAATTTCAACTGGCCCTTTGAGGGCCACCATGRTGCTCATGTGKCCCTCAGTGAAAATGAGTTTGACACCCCTGCTCTAAACTATGAGGAGATCTTCGTGTCAGATATTCATTGTGTAGATGGACAATGCAAATCAACATACAGGATGAGTGAAAAGTCTCAGGACACACTTTTATTTCAGAAACAAAAGGGAAAGGGAACTATTTGAATACCTCAGCAAGCAATGGACGAGGGGGCCTTTATTTTAAGCCATGTGTTCAGAACATGGCCACCATCTTAAAAGACACTAATGGATCAAGAAAAAGGTTTTCCACAGGGAAAGTGGTCATTTAGCATATTTAAGAAGACCAGATAATTGTTTGCTGCATTCAGATTTGCAGCATATCTTGAGGTTAGATTATATTACATTAAATTTTCAAGAACTACTGTATATGTATTTGTACAATGAAACACAACATATTGTATTATACAGAAAATAATCCCAAACAAAGTTGATGCAGATTAAATTTGCCACATTTTTCCAATGTTTCTGTAAAAACTTYCCATGTACGATAAGATGGCTGGAAGTCTGTGAGTAAAGCACACACTAAGTCTAACATTATATTATGAACAAAATCCTGAACAAACAAATTAAAACGTGATGATCCCAACAACACTTAGACTCTTGGGATTTCCCATCCTTTGCTGGCTTTGTTTCACATGTTTTGAAAGATCAGGGACAGAGAGGAGGCCTGACAGGAGGAAATAACAGAGGAGGAGGAACGGGAAGGGGAGTGATGCAGAAGAAAGAAGGGTAAGAAAATGAATGGGGGCATAAACTGATAGCAGATGTGGAAGTCAGATGTCAGCATGGCTTTCTTGTGGTCAAATCAAAGGCTCAACTCAGAACTTGGAATGGATCAGCTGTGAATGTTTGGCGTGTTTATATTTTGTTTCCAAACCAAGAAAAAAGGTGCAACTTTTTTTTACAGAAATGTGAAATTACACTAAATAATAATAACGTTCTTAGATTAGGATATGAAATCTGTGCAAGCAGGTTTTTAACCCAGAGAAGAGGAAATAAAACATCCAAACACAGGATCCACTGGCAGTCCTCAGCACTACTGGCATGGCGACACAGCGCGGTCATCCTCACTTCATTCAGCTGTTCTGACTTTCTGAAAGAGCTATCTGAAGCATGAGAACAGAATCTGAGCCCGCTCCGCTTGTTCTGTCGTGTCTATCTGGGTCACTGTCTGTGTTTGTGGCAGGGGCCACTTTCCACCCATTCTGTTTATGAGTCAATGTTGTACGGATTATCATCATCGGCCTGAAGAATGAATAGACTTTTTTAAAGAGGCAATATCATGAAAAATCAACTTTTTTTAGTTTTATATAATGTTATAATGTTACACTCTCATAAAAAAACATGCCCAAATCCTTTGACTCATTCATGCATATTTGAGAAATCCTGCAGCGTTTTTAGGAAGCCATGCAGAGGAGCAAAACAACAGGTGGGGACCAGAGACGCCTTTTGGGACCAGAAACGCCCCTGGGACGTGTCTTTAAGCCGAACTTCCTCATCATGGAGCACACCTCCCCACCCCACACACCCCACCCATGACTCTTGCAGGCTCTCGGCAGTAACAGAGCAAAGGGAAAGTGAAATTTTAACTGTCTTTTGCCCTTAACACTACTGCTCACTCAGTAAAGCTCTTTTCAGATTCAAAATACCTTTGAGGAAATGTATTTTCAGATGCCAAATAAACTGCGTCATAGTGCACACGTAAACCCCCTGTAGGAGGTGAGCTTAAGGTGGCATTAAGCTTTTCCCACATCTCTCATACACAAGGTTATGAGGAAACTTTTACCAAGGTATTTCTCATTACTTGTTAATATCTTGACTGTGCGAAGTGAAAAGTGACAAAATAAGTGAACGTTCAGACGAGTTCAAGTTGATCCATAAAAGACTATGCAATCATTTATTTACACAAATTGAACAGCCTCGGGTTGAGACCACCGGCGGCGTGCCGGGTCCCTGACTGTGAAGTCTTCCCTAGTTAGCTCATGGGATCAGACTTAAAGCCAAACTGGGGTTTCTCTGGAGAGAATCCCAGCTGACTTCCTAGGTTGGAATCAGGAAGAAGAGTGAGTGTTGCTCAAAGCCGTCCGGGTTAGTAAAAGAAACGGACGAACTTTGGTTCTGCCCTCAGGCTTAGAGATGAGTCAGAGAAAGAAAGATAAAGATTTGCCAGCGGCGCCAGCCCAAG